GTCTACTAACCCCCGATCGAGCGTGTCGATGAGTTAATTATGATGTAGAAGACCCATACCCATGATTGGCATAGAAACATCCGCAACAACGAAGATCCAGTTAATTAGTTTGCGTAAACCCATGTTAAGATATGCATACCGATTACCATATGTGGCGATTGCATTCCCATTTGCCGCCTGTAAGTTGAAAACTATTTTGTGCAGTCAGTCGTTAGGGTTTGCTGGAGGAACGCTAACTTCTGCGCCAGTGTCGACAAAGTGGTGAATTTCTTAATCACATCAGTGATGTATGACAGACGGTTAAATTCACTGGCTGCGATTGACATTCGGTTGACAGATGCGGCTAGCTCGTCTGCAGCGTCATTTCATAATGAGACAAGCACCGCCTGCACCTGTTGGGGAAGCTTGGACAAGAAAAACTGCTCAAACAAACCTCCACGAAAGGTCTATCGACCAGTGACCTCTCGCATTCGTAACAATATGTCTGTTTCTGAGTCTTGTTGTAAAAGACTTGATCTAAAGTTTGACGGTTGGTTAGATCTCCGCCATTAAGAATTGACCAATTTCGAGTTACGTAGGGTCTTAAACATCACCAGTGAACATAACAGGTCTGACGAACCTTTTGGATTCGCGTGGTAGTGCCTTCAGTTCTGCGAGGAATCGTGCAGGTGCATCGGTTACACCGTGCTCGTGGAAGTCAGCTTCTGTGTAGTAGAACCACACCTCGATGTTGTCGGGCCAAAATGGCATTAGCTGCGATCAGGGTGGCGAAGGAGTCTTGATCTTAAGCAACTTAGGAGTCTATTCGGTAATGACGAATATAAAGTATAGGAATGAATAAAGGTAGAAAAATATCCAAAAATAGGAATAAAACATCACAATGTATAAAAATCAAATGGATGATACATAAAGTTCCATAAAGGAACAGAGTCACAGTTTACAAACAGGTGTACCAGATCACGTCGAGCTTACCACCAAAGGTGCCACAGGTATTTGGAGTTTGACAACGCCTTAACCAGTAACACCTTTTCTAATCGAAACGTGCCAGTCCAGTGAAACCAGAATTCAGAAGCGAAGGGGTTTGAAGATATAGTTGGTAGGGTATCGACATATCGAGAAGGGATCAATCTATGCAGGTTAACAGTCGTAAGAGATGTGTAGCACGATGCAATCACTCGTGATGTGGTGTGGATGCGTGACCAAGTACCTTCAGCCCGGTGAGTACATTAAAAGTAACGCAGTCAGCATCAAATGCCGAAGAATTACAGAGCTATGGATTTTGAGGATTTATTTACCGCTAGAAATATTTTCAAGGCAGAATACCTAAGTTCAGTGATGGGGCGTATGAAACCTTATCTTTAACAGTGTAGATCACCAACGTAGATGATCTATGTCGAGAATGATTGCAGGCCTACTCGAGTTAGACGTGAATGGTGTGACAAACTAGCTAACATCGAAGTCACACCTCATGGTCAGCACCTTAGGTGGACTACCCCATTGACATACCAAGGTACCATAGATGCTTTGAAGACTGTACAACACAGGGGACGTCGTTACAGAAATATGTCAGTTAAAGTAGATACAAGCAAAAGTGAGACCACTGCCGCATGGGCCAGTTCATGGTACACGATTAACTTATGCGCGTTGGTTGTACATGACCTTGGCAGGGAGCGATGATCTGTTCGACATTCAGTGATCCAACTGCCGGATGATTTGGCTAGAGCTCAATGACATTCCACTGGCCCTACAACAGTTTAGGTGCATGTTCCAACATAATAAAAATTTAGTTCCTAAATGGGCGAAAAGTGTTTGAGAACACAGAAACAATACTACAATACGTATAAGTATATGTAAATAATGTTACTAGGAGCAGACTCAGTTCATCGTTATGTGTACCAGGTCGCATAGTCTTACCACTAAAGACATCACGGACATTCATGGCTCGACAACGCTTTTGCTTTTGACACTGTAACCGAGAATCACCAACCTAGTCAAACAAGAAGTCAGGAATAAAGGATTTAGGAGATACATATATAGCTGAGCTGACTAGTCATTGCTATGAGTGCTTAGTAGGGCGTACCCACTTGTAATCTGTTGAGGGTGCTTGGCCGAGAGAACTCAGCTAGGATACGTTCAATAGAGTGAATTGTGTCAGTATCAGTGTCGATGACTTCCTAAACTAATTATTTTGAGGATTTACTTACTGTTGCAATGTCACTAAGCCAGGAACGTTTGTACAATCAACTCTGTGGCGCATTAATCAGATAAATCGGGAAGAATACAAAGTAGCTAACTGTGAGGAAAAAATGTTCGTAAACATGTCGAGGAACCTATTTCTACTGTGACGGCATAGCAATTCACTTAATTTAAGGAACTATAACTAAAAAGTTGATGAAGCCTCCAAGTCTAGAGGTCAACTTATTCGAAATTAATACCACCCGTAAAAACAAATTGTGGCTTATAACACGTGGCCAATCACACAAGCCCAAGAAAAATAACGATATCGGCAAAATGATACCGACAAAAATTACAAGGCTTGTTAAACAACTTATTTATCTAAACATACAAACTCAAGTGTGGTTGACGTTACTATATTGGTGAACAAATGGATCAGGAGAAAAAGATGTTCACCAACATAAACGTTTGGTTAACTCCACTGACTAGGCTAAAAGTACGATTTTCTGTAGCTTTTTATTTTGCGCATCACATGATTATTTTTCACACACAATATAGCATATGCACATGCTTTGAGCACTCCTGAATAAACTCATATCACCTCACCATGCATGGCTTTATTTTCACTAATTAATATTGAATCTTTTAATGGATTTCACCTTAATAAACACTATTTTGTATCCATTGATAAATATATACAATACTAATAACAATTTTGCATACTATTACACCTATAATACATCATAAATTTATCATAAAAGCGACTTATGTCATATTACACTTTTTATGTTTGGTATTTACTTCAATTAGCCAAACTTAATTTGTTGCTAAGTTTTGTCAGTGCTTCAATCTTTTAAATTTCACCAAGTCTGTTAATCTTTCATTACTGATTGTAAAACATTTTATTTAAAATTCCAATGTTGTTTTTTGGTGCGAATACACTTCCTTAATTGATTACCAATTAAGCACACCGTCCGTACTAATTAACTATTTTATTCTTAACGGTACCTCTGAAATTTGTCCATTTTACAACCTACTCAGTTGATATGTTTACAGTGTAGTTTCATTCTGCCAGATATGAGGGCACTATCTTTTGTTAAAGTACAATATTTCTTGCGTTGTTCATGATAGATAGAAGTTGCATACATGTTTTACAAATAGCTGAGGACACTGAATGTCTGTGAACAAAACTGAAACCCCCTTTATGTGTTCAAAGACAATCTGTTCTTGCCGTTAACCTACTCTGGTAATGCTGGCTTATTATCAAGCGTTGTTTTCCACATCGTGTACCTTGTTCCCCCTTGCCTTTTCATTTGTCTAGTCGACCTTTTATTTTTTGTATACAAAGTCTTACCAAGTATATGTGTAATCAAACTGTATTGCGCGACTATATCACATTATTCTAATAACCTTCGTCTTCTCATCGCACTATCCAAACTAATTTTCTGAATACATAGAGGTATCCTGTTTGTTGAAATTAACAGAAGAAACTTCTTAGTATCCAGTTTTTCAAGATAAGTAGAATTATGAGTGCTGGACACAATACGCAGATCTGTTCAATATGCACTCTAGTAGTCATGAATGGACTATCACTCAAGTCTCCTTATGCATAAAATCAGTGCTTGTTAGAAATAAACGACCGTCTAAACACAGTTGCAGCAGACGGTCAACATTATCTGTTCTCTGATCTGGAATACCAGAATACCCACCTAAATGTCTTTCTGCTTGGTTTAACCTACCTACTTGAGCATTAAAGTCGTCTGCTAGAAGTACTATGTTCGAGCATTTAGCTTTTTGAAGAAGTTCAGAAAGCTTTCTGTAAAAGTCGCCTTTCATTTCATCCAGGGTGCGGTCAGTGGGAGCGTAGGCAGAAACGACGAAAAGGCAACGACGTGTGTCCTATCCTTTTGAGTTCTTGCGGAACCGTTTAGCCGAACAACACATAGGCGACTGTTAACGGAGATCCACCCTAATAGTGCTTGTTCCACCCTCATGCTTAGTGCGATGCCCACACCTGCTAGTCCACGAGAGCTGGCTGTCGGGTCACCAGATACACGGAGGGTGTATCTCGTCGGCTCTCCGTTTTGCCGAGGTGAGGTAAAGTGAATGACCACATTAGGATCCTGTATGCGTGTTTCAGAGACACAGCATACATCAATGGTACGAGATTCTAGGTTTCTAGCCAAAGAAGGCTGTTGACCGATTTGACATAGAGTGCGTACGTTGAAGGCTCCAGTGTGTAGTTTGGAGCGAAGTTTCAGTTGACCTGGGACAGTGTTTTGAGCACTAGAATCGTTCGCTATGGTGACACTTGAGGGGAAGCCGAAAGAGGAAGTTTAGCGTCGAAAGTCGATGGAGGAGGAATAATAGGAATTGAAGAGGGAGGTTGATTATAAACATAGTGGTCTTGAGTGCTGTTAGAGGTATGAGGGCGGTTTTCACTTCCCGATTGCCCACACCGCGGAAGGGTTTCTTAGAGGTACCTGAAAAGGAAATTGGATTAGAGGTGATCTTGGTGACCTGACAGAGTGACCGCAGTGCCCAAGGGACAACTGCTTGAGGTCGGTCACACACGACCTTTCTATTGGTAATTTTTGTGTTAGTTCCGTACTTCTTGAGACCGTACTGCCTGAGACGGATATCCGTGGGATAATGCGGTGTGCATTTTTGGGGTTGACCTTTTCTAACCCCACCCCTCCTTGTGGGAAGGCAGCATCGCTGTCATGCTGGTTGTCTGAAGGAAACACCTTACTGCTGTCACACCTCCGCAGTCAGCAGTACGACTTCGCCTTCAGACCTTGGGTTTGTTGCTTTTAGTCTTACCGCTCTTCAACCGACCTGTCTGACATGGTAGGACCTTGAGGAACGGTTGTTACAGCCAGTATAGCTCGGTTGCTTCATCACGATAGGCAAGCCCGACCACCACGTCAGGTAGCAACAACAGTCGGGTCAAGATAAGTAGGATTAGGAGTGCTGGATACAATACCAAGATCTGTTCAATATGTACTCTAGTAGTCATGAATGGACCATCACTCAAGTTAGATATAAGACTGTACACACTTGAAGGTATTATATTGCAATTTGAACTAGACGCGCAATAATGTACAAAGTAACCATTATTATGTACAAACATCACAACTTTTCTTACCCACCAACCAATTAAACATTGCAATCTAAACTGACAACACTTACAATTTTCTGTTGCATCCTCAGGAAACAATAATAATTGTTGCTCTATATCTGAGAAACGATGTATAAAAAACTGGGGATCAGGAAGTAACTGCGTAAATATGTTACAGTTTAGATGAATTCGATCAATCATCCACCTGAGCTACAAATCTTCACAATTTAATCATATTTCAGACTAAACGATGAAAGTGAATTAGATTTTACAGCTTCGTCTGGGTCATCACATTAAATTGTGTGGGTGTTATCAGACTACTCTTACATTACAAGCCTAATTAACCAAATTATTCTTATGAATTACACCAACATTCCATAATCTTTTATTTGTAAAACTATTAATTATTTTTTATAGATAACTTTATTATAAATTTCGTGTACTTGCCATGCAATAAATTTTTAACTATTAAACGACTTCATCCATTGAGCAAAAACTAAATAAGCTATTTTCCCTGAAAATCAGTGTTCGAAATGAGAACTAGCTCCGAACTATCATAGAGTTTTATATGCTTTGCACGACAAAAGTACTATTTATTGCATAGCTAAACCCATAATACGTGTGGAAGACTTGAATTGTAAACCGTGCTACGAACTAGCGACCTAAATGAACTCAAAGTGAAATTCGAAAATTCCCTTCGATTACCAATCGACCAGTGAAGAACTCTATGGGATATTTCGAGAATATAAGTAGTATTCAAATCTATTCGAAATTTCCGGTGAATGTGACAAATGATTGTGGCGGGTTTCATTTATCAGTAAGCCTGCACGACTTGTTCCGATATTTCATTATAAAGAATACACCAGTAAGATAGATCTCACCAATCTATGTAATACCATTATTAGTAAGAAGTAACTAGGATAGGTTTTATATGTGTTCATATTCCTGGCTGAAAATTTATTCTCAGTGTATTCAGGATGCGATGCGTGTGGTACTGAACAGTGGTGAAAACAATCTTTCATGGCTATTTATTCAAAATTACAAATATCTATCACAAAATTACTTTACGAGTATTACATCGCAGAACTAGTAGATGGTGGTTTTACTTTAATCAGTTTTAGTATTCTCATGTACACGACCAATGCGTTCACAAATCTCCTCGTTCAGTGTATATGCTGGATGGTATGCGATTCGTCCACTTTCTGTTATATACCTTAGTCGTGGATTGGGATGAGTATCTTCCATACTTCCAATTGATGTGTATCTGTAATACAGAAAAAACGCGGCATTGTTTATTTAAAAATTGGTATAAAAGTCAATAAAAAAAAATAGAATTCAGGCTGAAATAAAGATATTGACAACAGAGGAAAATTATAGCTAATAAAAAACTATGCCAATGGTAATTACGTCATGTAATTAATCATTAATTAATCAAGGGTTAATCACTGGACCTAATCTTGGCGACTATGAAGTATCATGTTCAAGTTTGAGAATAAAAAGTACTTCGCCGAAGTCACAAGGTAAAACTAGACTTAACTCCAGATCGAATGCAAAAGCTTCGATATCAAAGAATATTATTTTCAATATATTCAGACCAAACTCGTTCTCCTTCCAATTCTTCCTGCAAAGAACATTTAGCATCTTTACAGTTACCTATACGACTAACTTCAGCGCTTCAGCTATTAAGTTGTCTAGTCCTGCTGCTTTCCCACTCCTGATTCGCCTGATGATCATCCTGACTTATTCCATCGTTAGTGGAGTGATAGCTATAGGAAGGTCTGTGGGTTGTCCGTCAGTATCTGGTGAGTTCAACCAGGTTGATCTATTAAACAGTTCCTCGAAGTGCTCTACCTGTTGTGACTTTTAGCCCAGCTAATTATCACGCGGTTTATTCGCCAACCAGAATACGACTTATACAGTCTTATCACTGCGTCAAACCAATGACGTTCGACCGGTATGAGCAGTCTAGTATCCTTATTGGTCCTTTGTACTACTAGCCCTGCCAGTTGAGTCCAAAACACCAATACCAGCTTCCGCTACGCGAATCATTTGCTTCAAACGTACCTGGCTTATACACGAGCCAAACGGACCACATCACACCATAAAATAGGAAATAACATTTGTACAAGATCAGGCCAAAAGGTGGATATGGTTGTGGGTGGTGGTAATTGATAGACTGAGAATAATTTAAGAATAATAAATCGTATCATAATAGTCTATAAGTCAGAATAAAGCTTATAATAAGAGGAATATAGTTATGCGTAATTTAGTTACCGAATAGTTACAAAATAAGAACAAATATAATATCAGTTCATTAATGGTTCTCAGAAGTTACCGATAAACACTACCCACTTGTTCCGCTGTTCTCGAACCTTAGTGATTGGTTTGTCTTCTGTGTTCATGACTGGTTGCTCTGGTTTACTGTATTCTCCAGCTAGTTTCTTTGTCATATCACATAGTTGTCTCATTCCCTTCCCTTACAGTTTCTTCTGTTGTTACTGATATTACTTACTTACTTACGGCTGTTACTCCCAATGGAGCATAGGCCGCTGACCAGCATTCTCCAACCCACTCTGTCCTGGGCCTTCTTTTCTAGTTCCATCCAATTCTTGTTCATTTTTCTCATGTCTATCTCCGTTTCTCGGCGTAATGTGTTCTTTGGTCTTCCTCTTTTCCTTTGACCTTCAGGATTCCATGTGAGGGCTTGTCTTGTGACGCAGTTGGGTGATTTCCTCAATGTGTGTCCTATCCACTTCCAGCGCTTCTTCCTGATTTCTTCCTCCGCTGGGATCTGGTTTGTTCTCTACCACAGTACGTTGTTGCTAATAGTGTCCGGCCAATGGATCTGAAGTATTTTGCGTAGACAATTGTTGATAAACACCTGTATTTTCTGGATGATGGCTTTTGTAGTTCTCCAGGTTTCTGCCCCATACAGTAGAACTGTCTTGACATTTGTATTGAAAATCCTGACCTTGGTGTTGGTTGACAGTTGCTTTGAGTTCCAGATGTTCCTCAGTTGTAAATATGCTGCTCTTGCTTTGCCGATCCGCGCCTTCACATCTGCATCAGATCCACCCTGTTCATCAATGATGCTGCCCAAATACGTAAAGGTTTTTACATCTTCCAAATCTTCTCCGTCAATTGTGATTGGATTGGTGCATTCTGTGTTGTATCGGAGAATCTTGCTTTTCCCTTTGTGTATATTGAGACCTATTGCTGCTGAGGCTGCTGCCACACTGTTCGTCTTCTCCTGCATCTGTTGTTGCGTTTGGGATAGAAGGGCCAGATGGTCTGCGAAGTCTAGATCATCCAACTGCATCTTAGATGTCCATTGTATCCCGCGCTTCCCTTCAGACGTTGACGTCTTCATGATCCAGTCGATCACCAGGAGAAAGAGAAAGGGTGAGAGTAGGCAACTTTGCCTAACACCGGTCTTCACTTCGAACGACTTTGTCAACTGTCCTCCATGCACAATTTTGCAGTGTAATCCATCATATGAGTTCTGTATGATATTGACTATCTTCTGAGGCACGCCGTAGTGTCGAAGAAGTTCCCATAGTGTTGTTCTGTCCACGCTATCAAATGCCTTTTCGTAGTCAATGAAGTTGATGTAGAGTGATGAATTCCATTCAATTGATTGTTCCACAATGATCCGTAGAGTTGCGATTTGGTCTGTACACGATCTATCCTTACGGAATCCTGCCTGTTGGTCACGAAGTTGGGCGTCTACGCAGTCCTTCATCCTGTTTAACAATACCCTGTTGAAGACTTTTCCCGGTATTGAGAGAAAAGTGATGCCCCTGTAGTTATCACACTTGCTGAGATCGCCTTTCTTCGGTATTTTGATCAGAAGTCCTTTTTTCCAGTCTGTTGGTACTTGTTCCTCATCCCAAATATTATTGAAGAGAATGTGGAGTATCCTTGCAGTTGCCGCGTTTATGTGGGAATATGGTGCCGCCTATGACCAGCTTATTGAAGGCACATAGATTTGCAAACCTCTCACCATTTTCGTTTCTTTCTCCCAGTCCGTGTCGTCCCATGATGTCTTCATATCCAGTGTTGTCCGTCCCAACCTTGGCGTTGAAATCTCCCATCAAAATGGTCAGGTCCTTTGTTGGGCACTTCTCGACGATTGACTGCAGCCTATTGTATAACTGATCTTCAGCGTCTTCATTGTGGTCGTTGGTAGGCGCATAGCATTGGATGATGTTCATTGAAATGCCCTCTTTCTTTGTTTTAAACGAGGCTTTGATGATCCTTGGTCAATGAGATTCCCATCCTATAAGTGCCTTTTGTGCTTGTTTGGACAGCATCAATGCAACTCCTTGTGTATGTGGTGCATTTTCTTCTTCATGGCCGGAGCATAACAGGAGCTCTCCTGTAGTTAGTCGTTGTTGTCCAACTTGTGTCCAATGTTTTTCACTGATCCCAAGTACCTCTAGGTTGTATCTTCTCATTTCTGCAGCAATTTGGAAGGCTCTTCCGGTGTCCCACATTGTACGAACATTCCATGTACCTAAATAAATGGTCGCTCTGGTTGTCAGAAGGGGCATCGGCCTCGTAACTTCCGAAGGAATTCGGCTTTCATCATGAGGCGTCATAGTTCTTCTAAATGAAGACCTTCTGACTCCCAGGGCAGAGTTTAAAAGACTTGAATAATTTTTTCTGGTTAGCGTTTTTTTAGCGAGTTAGTTTTCTACGGGATGGGGACGCTAACCCCATGCCCAACCCTCCTCCTTTATCCGGGCTTGGGACCGGCAGTAGCCCCCGGAGGGACTCCAGGCGGAGTTTGTTACTGATATGTCTTTCATATAATCCTGCTTATCACCACTAATGCTCTTCTTCACCCGTTGGTTTGCCTCTGTGTATCCAGACTGAGCTTTAGTTTTCTCTGCATCCAATTGGTTTCTATTGATTACTCGCTTTTTTTTCCTTTATTGAACCAAGTCCATGGTCTCCATATAGATCCATTCCTTATGATAATGCTTCTTGTGGCACGCTAAAATTAGTGTTTCTCCAATCCCTTCCCGCTTGTTCTCTATAGCAGTTTCCTCTTCTTTGAGCAGATCTTGTAAGGCTTGAAACCTGATGCTGAAAGTTATCTTGAATTCGTTTAGTATGTCAGTATCTCGATGGAAGACTGTAGTATACCTTTGTAATGCTATTTCTCCAGTTATCCAGTACTTTTCTTAGCTTCAATTCTACCCTGGTAACCACCAGATGGTGGTGTGAAACTATGTCAGTTCCTCTATTGGTTCTCACATCTTTCGCTGACCTTCTGAATACTTCATTGATGCAAGTATGACCGATTTGGTTCTCCGTAGTGTGATCTGGTGAGACCCATGTACCTCATCATTCTCTTAGTTTTCTCCCAGTCCATGGTCGTCTCATGATATGCTTGTACCCAGTGTTGTTCATTCCGACCTCGATGTTTAGCTCTCCTATCAGGATGGTTAGATCCTCTTCCTAAGCACTTCTCTAGGATCGACTGTAGCTTCTCGTAGAACTGGTTTTTATCGTCTTCATTGCTATCATTGGTGTGTGCATAGCACTGGACAACATGCATTGCGATTCTCTCCTCCTTTGTTTTGAAGGATGCTTTGGTGAGAATGTATCCATGCGGTTCCCATCCGATAAATGCTCTTCGTGCTTCTCTGAAGAGGATCAGTGCAACTCTATTTGTGTGCGGAGCCTTTACACTTCGTGACCGGAATATAACCACATCTTTTCGTAATATTCTACTGTCCAGGCTGGATCCAACAGTTCCCACTTATTCCGGGCACCTTCCATTTCCGTAGCTAGTTGACTAGTTCTTCTGGTATTCCACATAGTCTGGACATTACATGTATGTATATTAATTGTTACTCTGGTTGTTAGGAGCATCGGCCTCGAGACTTCCGAAGAACCTCGATGGCACTATAAGGCTTCATAATTCTTCTAAATGAAGTTCTTTTAACTCCCAAGTAGATTATAAATGGTTAAAATTGTTTATTCTGGGTCGCGTTTTCTTAGCGAGGTTGTTTTCTACGGGGTGGGGTTGCTGACCTCATACCCAACTCTTCTTTACCCGGGCTTGAGACCAGTAGTAACATTAGAGAAGCTACAGGCGGAGGTATCCGTAATGTTAGCAGACGTTTAATTGTTAATACGTTAACATTGTGGAAACAATGCAGATTTATGATTCACAACATATTTATGATATTTCCTAAAAAGCACTAGTGAAGCATTTTAATTTAAGGTTTTTATTTACAATATTAATGTTGATAATTACCCGGCGTCATACAGACTGCAGTATGGTAGTGAAAGAGATCGAAGAAAATTCCATACATCAGAGTATGTCCACTCTAAGAGTGGATTGATCCGAAGAATTTGAGGCCAACCAGGATCTGACATTACCATATGAGACATTTTGTCTACGTAGAAGATAACAGTTAGACAATGAAACCCATTATTATCTGAAATATATTAGTACCATAGTAATGAACAAGTCAACACAATAGCTATTCGTACAACTTGCAAATTAGTCAGCAAACAATTACTGAACATAGAGGACGAGTCTTTAAACATTATTATCTTATCTGATTCGCCAAAATGTGGTCACAAGAGAATGACGCAGGTTATATTATAAACATGCACTTGGGAATGCATAATTAAATAAACTGAAAGACAGGTGTGTTTCAGTGTCTAATGAAATTCCTAACTACGGCTAGTATATTGACATACTGATCAAACCAACCAGCTGAGAAAGCTTCATCGAGTAATGTTAGCTGGGAGATTACTGTTAACACGCCCTGCTCAGCTAGGTAAGTCAATCAGAGAGGGGTAAGTTAAGACAAAAAACAGCAAATTCAAGAGTGAAGTTACAGTACTAATCTTTCTAAAAGCAATTGGGACAGATCAATGAAAACGTCTTATTCTGTGACCATGGTGTGGTAAGAATTCCGGGAGGAGATTCACTTTGATCGAGACTATTTCACTATCAAAAACATGGAGTTGTTTGTGAGGTAACTGAGTAGCAATAATAAATACGACCTATAATACTAGTGTACAGTCCTAATGAGAAGCCAATTGAAAGGAAATGCTACCTTGCTCATCTTGTTTTTTTATCTGATCTCTTCTTGAGAAAACTTGATTTCTTGAAACATCTATTTGTAACAAAAAACGGGCAATAAAAAATGAAAAAAGTCGAAAAGGAATAGCGATACTCACATGCTCCAGGATCTGTATATCTTGTACCCATGAAGGCACCTCTTATTTCAGGATAATCCCCTAAAAATCTTTCCAATGCACTTTGAATAGATCCCTCATATATAAATACGCTATTATCCATTGAGCACGATGAAGTCTGTGAATTTACATCGGCGTGTCGCTGTTCATATTGTCTTAAATCTGGTCGTGAAATTTTACTCCATAATGAATAATACGCATCAACTATTTTTTCAACAAATAGTTCGATTTCTGGAAAAGTAGAACATGAACGAATATATAAAAGTTTTGGTAATCTTGTAGGTTTTATATTTTCCGAATGGTTGTTATTATTATGACTTTGATGTTGAATTGCAGCATGGATTAAATGAAGTAACGCTGTGCAATCTTTACCACCATTAAAACATATAACCAGCTCAGAATCACTTTGAAAGGAAAAAAAGATGTAATAGATTCTATGAATTCTTTATATACGCGGTATTTCAATAATGAAACTGGTTGTTTGACTGAAAACCGACTAAGAAAAATGTAACTTATAGTTTGTTTCAGGACACGTAGGATGGTATGGCTAGACAAGATAGAATTTTAGTCATTTGGACAGTGAAATAAGAGTTCCCCAATTTACATTTCAGTTTACCCTGGTACATAATCAGAATAATGCCATTGGGTAGTTTACTGGATTGATGGATTAATTACCTTAGAATATCATCATTTTCTCATGGAAATTTTAGGGTGGTTAAAAATGTATATGGTAACGAGGTGTATCGTCGTTGAATAATGAATTTACACAATCATATGTCAGGTGCCGCTTACAAGAATTCTTCTTTATTAAGACAAGTAGTACGGAGGAAGAGCAGTCGAATTTATCATTCATTCAACTGTTCAATGAAGTCCATCCTTTGTTACGGTAGCAAATTAGTCACCTACATAAAAATAAGATTTGATATCACTGCCAAGATTTTTTCATCCTATTTATTCACTTTAATAGATATCAATTTATAAAAAAGAAAAGGAGACAACGAAATATGATCATACATTTAATGTTGATATCAACTACACGGCTACTTTGAATAAAAGCTGGACATTTTTTATCTACATTTTCATTTTTTCAAAAAGAATTAAATGACACTATTTTCATAAGAACTAGATTACAATCTTCATTCTAATCTTACATATAAAACCCATATTGACACATATCTGTTATTTTTTATTTAGAAAAATCATCGACCTTTAGTGTTAAATTTACCAGGTTCATGAAAAAATGACCAGTAATTAAATATCTAAAATGATACGACAAAAATGTATCAACGCAGAGGGTTTGCGCAGATTATTGGATTTTAAAGCTTACGGTACGAATTGAACCCAAGGTCCTAGGGTTTGATCACCTATGGTTTCATAAATGGGTATTGTTGAGGAGTCTCATATTAGGACGACATAACTGTCCAGTGCTTACTGGTTTAAAATGATTGCCTGACTAAGGTCAGTCTTTAATATAGAATGTTAAAATGAATAAATTGGTAGTGTGAAAATAACAGTGTCGTTACTCAATCAAATAGTTAAATCCAGCTAATCTGAAACGAAACAAAAAATAAAAAAATTAGTTTGCTGGAAGTGTACCTGTATTTATTCAGTACTTCTTCTATAAACTGCAAAGATTTAGCTACACGTTTACCCAAATTCGATTCTGCCTGCTTACATAATTTATAAACTTCTTCATCAGCTTTATTGATTGGATATGGATTATACCTTATAATGTCTGAAAAAATATGGGGTACAAAAATAAACAGATCGGCGGGAATGAACTACTTAATAACAAAACAGCAAAAAGTGGTATGATAATTAGTTACTATAAATGGGTCGATTTTACATCTTCTAAACCATAACGCAAAACGAATTCTATTGATTGTATTTTGCATAGACATGTTGAGAAATATCATGTAAGACTTTGTGTAAAACGCCTCAACGACTTAGTTAATAGTTGAATAAATGAAGGAGTTTTTTATTCATATGTTGTGGAGCCATTCGACAAAAACAATGGTGTGCCACCGCATTCAAATTTAGATAAAGCATGTATATAGATTTTTTTGGTTCATTTAAAATCAACCATTATAAACATTTTTTAAAAGAAATTATCATAAATAAAGTCTACAACTGGAGAAATAAACAAAAGTGAAAAAAGAAAACTCACAGTCTTTAAATAGGCGTTCAGCTTCTTCATAAGCCAACTTCAGAGTATTTTCTTCAAGTGAATCAAAGGCTATTCGAACACGATAATAGCTAATAGATAGAAACACGGAAATTTACTAGTGGGATACATTTACTAATAAATGAAATATATTTCATTATCTCCTAATAGTAGTGAGAAATAAAATAAATATATACTGGCGATTTGTTTTTCTGCTCAATGTATCAATTTTAATTGGCTATAACTGTATTTTAATAAATTATACAGGTAACATAAATATAAATGTATCTTCAAAACAAAAAGATAGAATTACTTGTTATGAAATGCAGGATAAGATCCAATACTGACTAAACCTTGATATTTTTCGGCTAATTGAGACAAATCCTTCGCTATTTCAGTTTCCATAGTGGTAAGATATAAGGAATGATGAAAGAATATCACATTAGGATCTCGGATATGGTCCTGAATACAATACAAAAAAAGATGAATCGCAAAGTGAAAACAACGGAACACAGATTATATGAAGCAATTAAATAAACACAGTAACTTTATGGTAGTGTACAGATGTTAACATAATTTTTATGCCTATAATCCTGAAATTGGATGCACAAATTTTGTGATGGTAGTGTGTTGCTGGTGATTTGAAAAAGATAATCTTGGACTAATAGTATGAGCTTTGTTAAACTAGATTAAAACAAGAAACCATTCTGGTACAATAATGGTATAAGCACAAGATTAAAACTACGGTGAATTTTTAGACCGTTTTCAACTGACGAGAAAACAGCTTTCCAGGATGGATAGTTCGTGAGAGTAAAAATTATATTATAAGGTGTAAGCAGAAACATAATTAACAGATTAAATTCCTCTACAGCTTACTCTTCCTGTAAATCAAAAAACAACATTTAACACCATGATTTTAAACAATTTTTCCCGTTGATAAATGTGACTAAAGCAAGGACAACGAATGTAGCAAAGTAACATAAATTCATTTATATTTTAGTTTCTTTTTAGTTGCTTAAAATCGGACGTACATTTTTTAATTATATGTTAGTAAACATTTATTTTTTTGTCACGTTAAATGTCTTGGGCATCACAGATAGATATTTCTACTGCGCGTTATACATGACATTTGAATTTTGTGCTGCAAACTAGATGTCGCTTTCTCGATTTTGATTAGCTCATCCCTATAGTAAAGTATGGTCAATATAATACATTAAATTGAAATGTACTTCATTCAAAAAGATGGATTTTCATCTGTTTGTGTAAAATTTCTAGGACGAAATGTTTACATTTTTATAAACAAACATGCCTTCACCATATAATTACAACACATGTATTTGAAGCTGGTTGATCTGTAAATAAAATTTTCAATCTCAATTGCAATAAAATTAATGCTGCATACCTCATGGTTAGTTCCATAAATTAACTTAATTCCTATTTAACAATAATAAGCCACCCTCCCAAATATCCCGGTACGGCAGGTGTAGAGTCCGCTCTCCTCGAAATAATCTCACATGACCACGCGTATACACCCACTGCTAGGGATGTCCCACTCTGCCTTCTCGTGGCGGGGGTGTTGTCTACGCAATTCAGAAGATGAAGGGTCCACCTAGGGGAAGTAGAAAACCCTGATTCCGAACCAATAGTGCACATGGGCTCCAGGATTCTGAATGAACAAATGGCATATGAGCCTATTGTTGGTCATCGGCTACTATGGGATTGCATCTCCCAACGTTACCCCGCTGCCTTGTCGACTAGACATCCAGGTCAAGGGCTCAGGGAGTGGCTCTAAGAAAACCACCTGCTTCGGTTTTGGCATCCGAGCAGTATCACAGCGCTCATACAAATCGAATGATTACTGTGGTACATATACATTTGGTGCCTCCTTGTACCAATGTTCATGTGTTTAAATAAATCAATAAAATAAATAGCTATACTGATCATTATGTTCATAGCAAACCTCTTTAATCCCGTATGAATTAATAAGTTGGATATCACGCAATTCACTACCGTTATTCGTAGTTTGAGTAAATAAAATAGTTCTAGACTTTCGGACTAGTTTATTGACCAAAACTACCATTTAAGAAGTGATTCGTACTGAGTCGTTTGGGTGAAAGGATTATTGTTTAAGGAAATCGTTAAAAGCAAATATGGGAATTCATTAATTATTCTTTGGTTAATTAGTTTCTAGTTTTGCTAGTAACTATTTACTGAAGTTATTTTATAGTACAGACTACCAAAAAATCCTATACTGAGATAAAACAGCCGTTTAATGATTCTGGTTTTCAGTGTTATTAACTACTACCGGTCTGTGATATAATTTTGAAAAACGTAACAATCTAGAAAAGATATCTTATACCAATAACTCCTTATTCATCAGCAGCTTTTTGTTGGTAGGTAGTTACTAAGAACACCTAAAGCTAGTCACTGAAAGACAGTCGTAAACATCTTAGTAGAGATGCAATCGTCAAGACAGTTGAATATCACTAGTGTGCAACGCGAATAGGGTATATTATTAGCTAAGGTATTCAAGGACATCACGGTGTATGTGGAACAAGCAAATAGGACAAGGATACAGAACAGAAAATCGTTGAGATATACGTGAGAAGTCCAAGTGTTTGAACTTGATTTAAAAAAAGCAAGCTAAAGGGAATTACATGCACTATTTAGGAAATTATCTGCTAGGTCTTAAAAAAATCTGGAGTGGTCCAAAAACAAGAATAATGAGTTCTCACAAACGAAACAAACAAACATATGGCAACGATATATTCTTACGACTTGAGCACTAACTGATGGCCTGATCTTAAACACCAACAGTTTTTCTTAGCGCAGTACGTTCTCTGACATCCAATGATTTTTCAGGGTTAAACATTACAATGACCTAGAAACGACAAATTGAGTTTTAGAGAAATCATGCTAAATACCGGTTGGATGAAAGTTAGCTTATATAAATGAGCAGAACTGCTCACTTATTATGAAGGAAAAGCTCGTTAAAATGCGTAATCTTCCAGAGGGTTATGTTTTCGGGATGGGGAACCCACTGTTAGATATATTGGTAGATGCTGATGATTATATGTATGAAAGATACGAACTACAAAAAGACAACGCCATACTGGCTGAGGAAAAACATATGGAGATTTACGAAGAAATTCAGAAAAGAAAAGATGCGAAATATGTTGCCGGAGGAGCCACATTGAACACAGTCAAAATGATTCAGTGGATACTTCAAAAACCATTTGTGTGTTCGTACGTCGGATGCATAGGTTCTGATCTACCAGGGAAATATATTAAGAATGATTGTCGGGGATTGGATGTACTGACAGATTTCCAGATCACAACGAAACCGTTGAAAACCGGTAAAGTAGCAATCCTTATAAGTGAAAATCTACGTAGCATGGTCACCTATTTGGGGGCAGCGTGTGATCTTTCATTGGCCCACATTGAACAACCACATGTTTGGAGTCTTGTGGAAAAAGCACAAGTGTATTATATTGCAGTAAGTCTAAACTGTGTTATCTAGTTATTTTCAAGGGTTTCGTAATAAATACCTGTTATGAAGGTATGCTGAAAGTAGCCAAACATTCTTTGGAGAACGGAAAGTTGTTCTGTTTCAATCTCAGTGCTGCTTTCCTACCTCAGTTTAATACTAAAGAAGTAAATGAAATGATATCCTACTCAGGAGTGGTAATTGGGAATGAGTCTGAAGCCGCGGCGTTTGGAGATGCTCACAGTCTTACTGATAAAACCATTCATGCAGCAGCCAGGTATATAGCTGACTTACCATTTGTTGATGGAAAAAAGCGTAAACGATTGGTCATTGTAACACAAGGGAAAGATCCCATAATATATACGGATTCTACTGACCCTACCGTTCATCAATATGTTGTAGAGCAGTTGAAAGACGAAGAAATGGTAGATACAAATGGAGCTGGTGATTCCTTTGCCGCCGGATTTATTGCAGATTATATACGTGGTAAGCCAATGATCACGTCGCTGCAGTCCGGTGTGAGAGCTGCAGCTTATATTATACGTAGATCTGGCTTTTCCTTAGGTTCGAGAGAGTCTAGTGCATTCAAAATAAATTTATAAAACAGAACCAAACTTACCTTAATTATCTCTAGTGCCATATTAAATAAGCATGGAACTCCTGGTAAAATGAAGATATTTTTAACTTTGACAATAGGATAAGAGCTATCACTATCCATCTGGATTCCTGTTGCATATAGTAATTCAGATGACTCCGGTATTTTGGCAAGTTTGGTTATGGGGTCCGAAGAGGAAATCATATTCGGTTCTGATAGTCTCTTGAGGGTTTGTAAGAACTTTGGATGAATGATAATCTTTTCATTTAGTGCCTTTGCAACACCTTCATATGTCACATCATCGTGAGTAGAACCTATACCCCCCGATGTTATTACGTAGTCGTAACGGTTCATATAGTTGCGAACTTCCTCTGCGATAGCATCTGAGTCATCGGGAATAACAGAAATCTACATTAGGGTGTTATCTTGTGCACTTAAGTTACCTTCCGAAGTCGTACACCAAAAAGCGGGGCAGTGAGGCATACTTGTCGTGAATTGGAATCTTTCGCTTTTCCATTCAGTATTTCGTCACCGATAACTGAAATTAGTTGTGGTTAAGGGAGATCTGTGAATAAACTAATCACTTGCAACAAATATTTTTTAGGTGTGACAAAGTCTCAAGTCCGGTGGCAGACACTATCTAAGAAGGATGTACAGTTTCTTGATGTGGGTTCGTGTAGCTCGTGAAATATGTGTCATCGGGATAATGCGTGCCTAGCGTCCCATAGTTAGAGCGAATCTGTGTACATAACAATGGGAAACCTTAAGTTTCACGAGATATGAACCTGTGTCGATCAATATACTGTAGGAACACGCTAGTCCGACTATTGGGAGGATTGTATATCTGAGTAGCTAGGTACATTTTGAGGACATGTGGTAAGTTTCGGATTTCCGAAGTCAAATAGAGCATGCTAAAATATTTGGTCACTGATGTAACTATATTATGAAACTAGGTAGTCAATAGGAGAAACAGCTCTAAACAGTGCAATAGCTCGGCATATAATTCGTACCGAGCATACTACCAATATACCACAATCCTTTCAAATCGTTAGCAGAAAAAAACACGTAGGGTCTCTCCGGCTTTCCGAAGCACCAACAATAAAAAAACTAAAACCTGACTTGTTTATCCACAATGAGATAATAATCAACTTATTTCTACCATGGTAAAATATTTCTTTTATGATCATCATTTTATTAGCGTTTATTTTGTTATGTGGTCTTCGCTAAACTAACTCTTATTTTATGTAAACTAAAATTATCCGTTTATTCGTGTGGTCTTTATTCACTTAATGCTCCTGTGTAAACTTCAAATCCTGTTCAATTATTACATAACCTGCCTTATTAACTTTTAATTCCTGTAATTATATTTAAACCCTTCAACACCTGAAATTATCGCAGTCTTATCTGTCTCCGGACCTCATTTAATTACTAGTCATTCCCTCCCCGAATGATTTTGAATTCCATCTTCCAATGAACTCACACCTGTCATTGTACAGACATATATATAGTATTGGCAATACTTGTCATTTTAATTCTTTCCGTCATCAAAGTCTAATGTTTCCCATTATATCATACCTTAATGCCAACTTTTACTACATATATGGTTGTAAGCAGCTGATGCTAAACCACAAAATATAATGAATTCATATTCTGCCTCAATCGTTGTTTTAGCTTTATTCAAACTAGTGAAGAACATTAGGGCTGGTAAGCGGAAATATGTAGGAGACCTGAGAACGACAGCAGGAAAGTTTGCAAAAGAAGGAATTATATAAGAACTACATGATACTATTAAAAAGCCAGTGGAGAAAGAAAAGCAGTACACAGACCTCCCTACAGATATTGCTTCACCAACAGCAAGAGATATTAGCAAGGCAACCATATAAACCAGTAATACCAAAGTACCATAACCAGAGAGCATACCAGGTGAAAGCACTAAGGAGTACCTGAGATAGTCACCGCCATACGGAACTCCTATGAGCCTTCATTGGAAAGTCGTGTATGGAGGACAGCTCACTGATGCATTCTCAGTGTGCACTTGTTTTAGATAAGACTGCCTACTCTCACCTGTTCTCTTTAGGCTAGATGTTGACGAGAATATGAAGACCTCCACAGTTCATGATAAGCGCGGAATACAATGAGGACTGAGGGCGTAGCTGAGTGATTTTAATTCTGCAGATGAATCGGTCTTCCTGTCCTATACACAGCGGTAAACAAGAACGAATACAGCTAGTGTAGAAGATTTCGCAGAAATAAGCCTCAATATTAACAAGGAAAGAAGCACGAACCTAAAGTATGACACAGAGTAGCATGTTAGCTCAACCTATGTCGGTTTTCTTGACGAAGTGGGGATTATTGTCTCTGTGTAGTAGTGCTACTGAGTAGCAATTGGAAAGGAAATCTCGAGACAAAGTCCCTTGGAGGTTCATAGCTAGCGACGTATGTAGGCAAATACCTCTTGAGATGAATAACAGGGTTACGCTATAAGTAGAAAAAACCACTGGAGTGAGGAGGAACGTTACGACACTACTATTTAGGACCATGTTAGGGCTAATCTGTTGTCTGCATTATGCTCAGTGGGTGAGACTGTAATTTGTGGACAGCCTGTGAGCGATGCTAAAATGATCTTGGGGAAACTCGGCCACTTGCTAAGGTCAAACGAGGGTTATACATTAGTGGCGAAACATGATTGAGATCTCCAGCTAGATAGGTTTATTGCTCAAATATAAGGTTATTATTACGAAATGACATCAGCAATAATGCCAAAATTATGTATAAGCAAACAGATAAGTGAAATTCGTGCAACAATCCAACGACCAACTCAAATCTCGTAAGTCATAGTCCCACTGTGCAACACTAAGCTGATAGAGTCGCTTTCAGTTACTGAAAAGGTTAGAACATCTTTGGACCGTACAATTAGATACCTATGAGACCAAGGGATTTGGGAGATACAATTTTTAGCGCGCAAGACATAGTAGTCGCACACCGCGCCATGACCTTCAGCTGGACAACAGACCCACATTGGAGAAGACCGAAGGCCCGGAGGCCTGTGTTAATCCTGCTAATTGTGTTATCTCAATTGATCTGACTATCTTTTGAAGTAGTCAACAGATGTGGCTTCAGACACGTGTTACGGTAACTAATTCTTATTAACGATGATCCAAGGTTAGTTTCAATTTCAGTTTCAGTTTCGTAAGGACAGGAGGCTTGGTAGCTTGTGTTAGTCCTGGCAATCGTGACCCCTCAGTTGATCCAACTTTCTTTCGAAAGGGTCGACCGATGGAGCCTCAATCACATGCTGAGGTAATGAATTCCACGCGTTGATGTTTCGATGTGAAAGTCGATAGTCAGCTGACAAGTGATTTGTTCTAGACTTGTGAACATTTTTGGAGTGTCCTCGTAAATTCTCTGTTTTGGAAGTCAAGAAAATGAGGGCATATCAGGTGCAGACTTATCACTAAGCAATTTGAAAACTATGATCAAGTCGCCTCTAGTTCTACGATATGACAACGGGAATAGGTTTAGCTTGGCCAGTCGAGCATCATACGGAAGCTTTGCTATTCCGGGAATCAGCTTAGTTTCTGTTTTCTGAACCTTTTCCAAAAGCTCACTTTTTTTTAAGCAGGGGCTAGCCGCTTGTATGCAGTACTCAAGTTTACGACGTACGAACACAGCCTACAAATTCAAAGAAGTTTTAGCGTCGACACGGGTAAAAGCCCTAGGTATTGACCATAAGGTTCTAAAGCCTTTGGCGGCTACCGCACGGCAGTGTGCAGTAGTCTTTTAGTCTTGGCTAACGATGACTCCTAAGTCACTGTGTCTGGACAACATATAGCTCAGTGTTATTCATGGTGTATGTATCCATACCTTGATGACCGATATGCATCACAACACCCTTGGAAGTATTATCGGAAGCTGCCAGGTTTGAGACCATTCAGATCATTTCTTCAGGTCATTTTGGAGTTCTAAGCTACCACCCTTACATCGTATCGTTCTCCGTATTTTGACATCGTCAGCATATAGCATGAGCGATGATGATAGGAGACGAGGAAGGTCATTTACATACAAGAGGAATAGCACTGGCCCCAAAACTGTACCTGGGCACTCCACTAAACACAGTTTCTCAGATAGATAACTTTGAGTTCACCCGTCAAAAGCTTTGCTGAAATCAATATGGGCTACGTCTACTGGTAACTTTTGGTCCTTAAGAGCGCATCAGCTTTCACGAGCGACTAATAAGTTAGTGAGACAAGTTTCTTCTGTACCCCGTTTTCTAAATGGTATCCAGCAGGAAACGCCTAGAAGCCGCGGCCGCAAGGCTCGATCGGTTTCTAGCGGGAGACATAACTTGACCTCCCAAATCGTCCACAACCCTCCGGAATCCCACAGTATGTTTGACGCAACTGTGGTTGCTTCTCCTAGCAGCGTTGACGAGTGGGCACATGTTGTAAGGAAGAAACAACGTAGCGATATAAAAGGGAATCCTGCTGCCATAAAGTTAGCCGAGAAATCCAAGGCTGATCACAGTGACAGATCAGTTATTTTTCATAGAATGAAGGAGAGTGAAAGCTCCGAACCAAAAACTCGATTTCAGCATGACATTGTGCTGATAAAACAGCTACTTAATCAACTCATGCCTCAAAATATCCCCTGAGTCACCTTACTAAAGGTGTACAGACTAGGTAGTCTAGCGAACTTGAAGCCTAATCAATACAGCATATAGTCAGCTGACAAGTAATTTGTTTTGAGTGTGAATATTTTTAGAGTGTCCTCGCAAATTCTCTGTTATGGAAGAGACAAAAAGTAAGAGTATATCAAATGCAAATTAATCGCTAAGTAACTTAAAAACGTTCATCATATCACCTCTAGTCCCTCTTGTAGCGGTAAACACATCCACAAAATAAATAGCTCCGTAAGTTTTCGACATTGGATGCTGACCACATCAGTTTCAATGGACTCACCTAGCTGAAGGTGTTCAGTGATACATCCGCACCAGATCACGAGTGGGAACGCCATGCTCAACATTCCCTGCAATTGCTAACCAGATTAGACCACACGATCCTCGATATATTGATAGCCTATCAAATATATCTTCGAGCCTACTCGCTTCTGTCCATTGATTTCACTTGGTGGGTACGCTTCATATTAGGTGTTACTGGTTTAGGCGTTGTCAAACTCCGAATGCTTGTGACATCTTTATTGGTGAACCAACGTGATCTGGTACACCTGATTGCAAACTGTGAGTCTGTTCCTTTTTGGGATTTTATGTATCATTGCGTTATTTTAATTTTGTATACATTGTTATGCTTTTTTCCGTATATTTGGATATATATTTTTCATTCGTTCATTCTCGTACTCGATATTTCACCATGACTGAACAGAGACTCAAGGTACGTAAGCTAAAGACTATGTCCCCACCTTCGTTCCAACTAACGCCCTTCTGGCCAGACAACACCAAAGCCTGGTTCTGCTACGCAGAAGCCGACTCCTGAGAGCACGGCGTGATCGACACACGTGCACAATTCCTCGCATTAGTCAAGGCACTACCGCGTGAATTTAACAGGTACGTAACACCTAGCATGTATACTAGTGATGTTTCGGAACCCTACGAAACACTGAAACGATCAGTCACGTGTTGCGGTAATTAATTCTTCTCGTCGATGATCCAAGGCTAAAGTTTATAGTCAACTGACAAGCCATTTATTTTGAGTGTGAATATATTTAGGGTGTCCTCGCAAATTCTCTGTAATGCAAGCGACAAAAAGTAAAAGTATGTCAAATGCAAATTATTCGCTAAGTAATTTAAAAACTTTCATCATGTCACTTCTAGTTCCTTTTTGTGAAAATGGAATCAGGTTCAGTTTAGTCAGTCGGTCCCCATATGAGAGCTTTTCTATTTGAGGTAACTACTATGTTGCGGTTCTTTAAATATTTTCTAACGGCTCATTGTCTTTTTTAGACAAAAGTTAGCCGTTTATATGCAGTTCATTATCATCGACATTATTGTGGGGTAACTGTGCCCTAGCAAAATCATCCGCAATCAAGCCACTGAATATCGAACAGTTCACCGATACTCTTCAAAATCAAGGACAGCCAATTGCTTACTTATTTACTTACGCCTGTTACTCCTAATGGAGCATAGGCCGCTGACCAGCATTCTCCAACCCACTCTGTCCTGGTCCCTCTTTTCTAGTTCCATCCAATTCTTGTTCATTTTTCTCATGTCTATCTCCGTTTCTCGGCGTAATGCATTCTTTGGTCTTCCTCTCCTCCTTCAGCCTTCAGGATTCCATGTGAGGGCCTGTCTTGTGGCGCAGTTGGGTGATTCCTCAATGTGTGTCCTATCCACTTCCAGCGCTTCTTCCTGATTTCTTCCTCCGCTGGGATCTGGTTTGTTCTCTCCCACAGCACGGTTTTGCTAATAGTGTCCGGCCAATGGATCTGAAGTATTTCGCGTAGACAACTGTTAATAAACACCTGTATTTTCTGGATGATGTCTTTCGTAGTTCTCCAGGTTTCTGCCCCATACAGTAGAACTGTCATGATATTTGTATTGAAAATCCTGACCTTGGTGTTGGTTGACAGCTGCTTTGAGTTCCAGATGTTCCTCAGTTGTAGATATGCTGCTCTTGCTTTGCCGATCCGCGCCTTCACATCTGCATCAGATCGACCCTGTTCATCAATGATGCTGCCCAAATACGTAAAGGTTTTTACATCTTCCAATACGCATCAGTTAATCGCACGTCATGAACTGACTCAAGTGGTGGTGGTCGTGCACTCTTCCTTGTACCTACTCTTACTGATAGTTCCGTAAGTCTGTAACAGCTTAGGTTGGTTGGTTAAGAGTTGACCCCAAACAACCAAGCATATGCCAAAACAGTATTGTTCAAGTATTCATTCACTTCCTTATTTTTTATAAGCGTTATATTCCCTATTATCTTATATTGAATGTTGAGAGCCTTTGTTTGTCTGAACAGATAATCCCACGCTCCACTGTGACTGCGCTAAGATCGAAATAAAGACCTATTCACTACTTGTCTGGTTTCTTCTATCAATAGCACGAGGGTTACTTAAGGCACGAAATTGGTGAGCCCTTTTTGAACACAAATTTAACCTCATTTCTGTTATTAACATTTTTTTTACTTAATCGTAAAAGTAGACCTGATTATCCGTAAACTAATTTGAGTATATAACTAGTTTATTCCGTATTATCTTAAGTTATTCGTGTTATAGTAACCATTTTTCGTGCTAACTTTATTGCTATATTTGTCACATACCTCATGTCAGACTCAATAGAAACCCATAATCTGGAGGATTTGTCACCAGTGGAGATAGACACTGTTATGACTACGAAATCCCGACTTCCAGAATTTGATCGTAGTGATCCTGAGTTGTGGTTTGCTCAACTAGAGCATTATTTCACGAGACACAATATCAAATCTGAAGGGATTCGCTATAGAGACTTGTGTTCTATCCTTCCTCCTTCAGTCGCCAAAGAAGTCCGTGACTTGATTTTAGATCCACCATCACCACAACCATACACCATCTTAAGACGAGAGATAATGAACCGTTTATCATTATCAGATAGTCAAAGAATCCAAAGACTTTTTCAAGGTGAAACACTAGGTGATCGGTCGCCGTCACAGTTTTTACGTCACCTCCAAGTCTTAGTGGGTGATAACACAGTGGGTGAAGCAGTCCTAAAACAAGGATGGATACAAGCTCTCCCATGCTACGTCCAACACTGTTTGGATGCACAAGATCCTGAAACCTCATTATCTCATTTAGCGCGTATAGCCGACAGAATAATGGAAAGAGGTCCTCCAACTGGATCAGGCACAATAAATCACACACAAAAAGTAGAATCAGCAAAAGACCCCGTAATAGAAGGACTCATTGCGAGTGTTAAGAGTCTCACTGAGGCTGTCACCAGAATGCAAATGGGTCATAGAAACAGGAGCAGGTCACCACAACGACCACGATCCAAGTCACAAAACAGGTCACAAATGTCCAG